ACAAAACTAGAACTTCAGTAGAACCAAGAGCTCTGAAACCCCACGGAGGAATGTAGGGAGAGCGACAGCAGAGACGGATGGTGTGTGAATGGTGTGGAAGAGGGAGCAGTGGCGATCCTCCTGCCTCGGCCTCCGAGTCCCAGGATTATAGGCCCAGGCCACCACACCCAGCCTGATCACAGATATTAGAAATCAAATTCTTCATACTTTTTTTTTTTTTTTCTCTTTTGCTTTCTTTTGAAACAGAATCTCACTCTAGTTCAGGCCAGCCTGGAACTCACTGTGTAGCTCAGGCTGGCCTGGAATGTGCTACAATCCTCCTGCCTCAGCCTCCTGAGTGCTGGGATCACAGGCTTGCCCCGCAAGTTTAGATTTTTAGTACCTACAGTAAAAACAACCATTACCACTAACCAAGAATTACAAAAGAACCAGGAAGGGCCCTTCCCCCGCTGTGTTCAGAGGTGAAGGTGCCTGGACCCTGCCAGCCTTTGGGCGGCGGAGCACAGGCTCCACTGCAGGGAGACCCCTGCGCCTGCCCCGGCCCTTCCCGTCCAGCAGTCCCGACCTGGCCTCCCTGAGCGTCTCCAGCACGGCAGGGATTCTCCGCGCTCCTGGGGGAGCGGCTGGTGTGGAGCCAGGGACGGGGGCTGCAGGCGGGGTCCCTTAGCCAGAGGAAAGGAGGTCACCGCAGGGAAGCAGGAAGTGGGGGGCCCTGGGCGGCTGGGAGTGTGGGTGGCTGCCGTGTGGGGGCTGAGGCTGGGGTGTAAACCGGACCGGAGCCGCGTGTGGCGGCGCTCGCCTGTGCACTCTGGGAGGCTGAGGCAGGCGGACTGCAAGTCTGAGCCTGGTCTGGGCAATTCAGTGACTTAGACCCTGTCCCAAAATAAAAAGGCCTGGGGATGTAGCTCCGTGCAAAGGTCCCGGGTTCGACAAAATAGCCCCAGAAGGAGATGTGGCCCCATGACGGCAGAGGCGGCGTTTGGCCTAGGTCTGGCCAGGGTGATGGCAGCCGCGGGGACCTCCGGGCCTCCCCTTGCCTCGGTGTCTCCGGCCTGGATCTCCTCCCTGAGGGGCCAGCGTGGGCCGCCAGGGACTAGAGGAAGAGCGAGGAGGACGCGGGCTGCGTGGGGTGTGGGCTTCGGGAGGCCGGGCACTGCCAGGGCCGCCTGGGCTCCACCTGGACGGAAAAGCTTGGGACGATGAAGTGGGACACACAGCTCGGAAAGACGCGCAGGCAGCCGTGCCGGGCGGGGAGGCCGGGAGCTGCAGGGGCCCTGGCTCGCC